TTGAAGTTATGGACATCTAAGTGAAATTAAATTTTTTCACTAATTTTTTTTGAATGGGGACTACGAAAATAAAATTTTGCTAAAACGATAAATAGACAGCTTTCTGTATACAACGGTTCATTTTAAAAGCATGTGATATTACAAATTGTTTTGAAAAGTAAATTAATTTTTGATGCAAAGTTATTTTTTTTTGTTAACACCAAAAATTACTGAAAATTATACAGTATTGAAACAAGAACTTGATATTCAATAATATCAAATCACAAAACATCAAAATAAAATAGGCATTTCGGAACAAACTCGTTGATTTTCTGGAGATTCAACTCAAAATACTTATTTTGGATAAGAAAATCTCCAGGAAATCAATGAGTTTATGCAGAAATACCTATTTTATTTTGAGGTTTTGTGATTTGATATTATTGAATATTGAGTTCTTGCCAAAATACTGTATAATTTTTAGTAATTTTCGGTGATAGCAAAAAATAAAAATAACTTTGCACCAAAAACTTTGAAAATTAATTAACGTTTCAAAAAAATTGATCGTGGATAACACGACAGTTGTGTAATTTGTGATATCACACGCTTTTAAAATGAGCCGTCATATACAGGATGCTGTTTATTTATCATTTTAGCAAAAATGTGTTTTTCGTAGTCCCCATTTAAAAAAAATGGGTCAAAAAATAAAACTTCACTGAGATGGTCATGACTTCAAATCTAGATGTGTTTTTCGAAGATGAATACCTTTTCTGGATAACATTTCTCGAGATTTGTCAAAATAAGAGTACTTTACTCTTGTCACAAAATCAAATGAAGGCTACTCGTATATTACGTGTGTTGTACTATATTTTGTTAGTGCATGTTTAGTTTTAGGGGATGCACAAACTTTTATCAGAAATAACTTTTTGTCGAAAAACCCATAATAAATAAGTTTCCCATATGGTGCATACTTTGGGGTTCCGCGCAAATGCAGTTGGGGAAAACTCATACAAGCGCGGGAGAAGAGGAGAAGAATACCGCCATTTTTTGCTCAGCAATAAAATCCGGACTCCGCTTTTCAAAGTATTTTTTCCGCATTTTTGTGATTAGTCTATTTGCTATATGTGTAAAAATCGAAACTCTAGAGTGTTGTGCAGCTGAAGAACGCAAATTCGAAGACTTGTGGACATCCTATCCGTCGACAGAACAATAGGTGAGTGGGCCCAACTGTTCGTCGACATTTTGCATTGATTGGGAGTGATCTCCCTGATCCTTTAATTATCTATTCTTATATTTGAATAAACCTAACGAATAAAGATTTTACATGGTCCTTCGAGCCGGATCCCAAAAAATTGTGTAGATTTCCTAACATCTAATAATTATATCTTCTTGAAAATAAATTCATTAATTTATCGGTCTTTTAAGGTCACCCAATAGGCAGGTATTCAGTGCAATTTATTCTATTCTTATCAGTTTCCTAATTATTTTCAAGGTCATCCGATACGCAGAGTGTTGCTTCTTCATTTGCTGTCACAATATAGACCAGTGGCGTACATATATTTTTTCGCTATCTCAAGTAATAAAATAAAATATGTCTTCAAACGCTAACAAACTGAAACAATATAAGGCGATTCGCCAAATTTATTACTATCAAATGCGTGAACTCAAAAAATTCGCCATGAATGCTTCAACAAGTGAGCAAGCAAAACTACAGTTTCAAATGTCATATTCGGCCTTTGATGAGGTGAAAAAACAGTTTTATCTTCACCATTCCAGTACAATAAGCTTGGCTTGCATTATGGAAAACGAAGATACTGATGCCGAAGAAAAACCTTCGCAAAGAATTTGAAAACGACGCATCAAAAGTGTATGCTTTGTACCATACTGTATTCTAAACTGACCAAAACCTGGTTTTTTCCACACCACAACCGAGTAAGCCTTCTGCTTAGCTGAATCCACTCAAAATTCCCAAATTTTCAGGAGATCTTAAACAATTCCGCCATTTTTATGAAATTTTTTCTTTAGTCGTTGACGGAGACGACGACCGCTCTGACGTCGAAAAATACTCGCATCTGATGGATGCCTTGTAGGGTCCTGCAAAGGCTGTTGTCCAAAGCAATTCCTCATCCGCACTATAAGACTGCTCTTGACGCTCTAATCGAACGTTACGACCGACCACGCTTAATCGCATTCGCCCATTTACAGTCGCTAGATAACCAATTGTTACTAATTCCAATAACTCAAAAGCTTTACGTTCTCTTGTGGATATTTTCACTGAAAATATTTCTGCATCTGAAAAAATGAAATTACCTATAAAACAGTTTTTTACTATTCTATATGTTTTCCAAGCATTTAAATAATGACCTTTCCACAATACGATGATTTGAAATCATTCATTGTAAATCACTGTCACGCATTAGAGACTGTAGAATTTTCTTCTTCTTTAAAATCACAAAAAACGTCTAATAGTCAATTACATTGCAAGCCTGAAAACAAAACCAAAGGTTCTAATTCATTTCAGTTGAAACCGCGTCAGGCAAACACGTTTTTTGTAAATGCAAAGAAAAGCACCACTTATTCATGTACATTCTGTAAATCAACTGATCACTTCATTTATAAATGCCCTCAGTTCCAAAATAAATCACCACAAGAACGTCTAAGCCTTGCCCACTCTAACAAATGGTGTTTAAATTGCCTCTCAGATCGGCATACCTCTAAGATGTGCCGTTCGCAATCTAACTGTCGATCCTGTTTCGCAAGACATCACACAATGATATGCATGTTATATCGTGAGTAGGACGATCTCACCGGTATCAGATTACCAAGATAACGACTTCCAAGACTTTGAGTCAGCAGAGTCAGCAGAACGTGATACTTTTGTTATTTCCCATCGTCTCCTGCTGACACCGCTGTCTACACATTATAAATGGACCCTGCGAGGTTAAATCATTGTCAGAACTAATTTATAATTCGTTTAGTATCAACTTAGATTCTGTTCCATTTTTCATTGTAGTTTTTGTAACGATATTTTTTGTTGTTATTCAAAGAAAGTCTGTAATTGAAAATAAAGTGTTTTTAAAAAGTCATATTCAAAAGAGTGAATATAACATGCATAAATACGTCACGTAATAATCAACCCACCAGTGTTGTTAGTCCGCAAAATCCCAATAATTCCATTCACAATCCGCAGTTCAATTCTGCAACGAATAATTCCCAATATTATCCGCAAAACTTGCACACCACTGACAGTCTTTTCGCCTATAGTGCTCCATTAATCGGAGCAACGCCTCAATCCGTTCATGTTTCGCGAACAGACAGTCTTCCTCCGCAAGCGAGTCCCCTCAATACGCAATTCAACAGTGGCTCCTTACCCCGAGCACACCCCACTTCAGATGTTAATTTTTCATTACCGCACCTCCAAGCTAGTCTGGTTCACATGTACTTGATTTAGCTCTTCTTGGTGACATTTTTCAGCCCTGCCCAAAAATTACGACCAAGGTGTCATTCGATTCGTATTTTTGCCTAAAAAGTTTAAGGAAAGGTCCGAAAACGCGCCGATAAAAATTACAAAAGTTATAAACAATTAAGTTAAGTAATAAAATAAAATATGTCTTCAAACGCTAACAAACTGAAACAATATAAGGCGATTCGCCAAATTTATTACTATCAAATGCGTGAACTCAAAAAATTCGCCATGAATGCTTCAACAAGTGAGCAAGCAAAACTACAGTTTCAAATTGCATATTCGGCCTTTGATGAGGTGAAAAAACAGTTTTATCTTCACCATTCGAGTACAATAAGCTTGGCTTGCATTATGGAAAACGAAGATACCGATGCCGAAGAAAACCTTCGCAAACAATTTGACAACGACGCTTCAGAAGTGTATGCTTCGTACCATACTGTATTCCAAACTGACCAAAAACCTGTTCTTTCCACACCACAACCGAGTAAGCCTTCTGCTAAGCTGAATCCACTCAAAATACCCAAATTTTCAGGAGATCTTAAACAATTCCGCCATTTTTATGAAATTTTTTCTTTAGTCGTTGACGGAGACGACGACCGCTCTGACATCGAAAAATACTCGCATCTGATGGACGCCTTAGAGGGTCCTGCAAAGACTGTTGTCCAAAGCAATTCTTCATCCGCACTGAACTATAAGGCTGCTCTTGACGCTCTAATCGAACGTTGCGATCGACCACGTTTAATGGCATTCGCCCATTTACAATCGCTAGATAACGCACCAATTCTTACTAATTCCAATAACTCGAAAGCTTTACGTTTTCTTGTGGATATTTTCACTGAAAATATTTCTGCTTTGTGCTTTGGAAAAAATGAAATTACCTATAAAACAGAGTGATTTTTTACTATTCTTTATGCTTTCCAAGCATTTAAATGCTGATCTGTTAACTAAATTTGAAATTCAATACGGCAATCCAAACAAAGGTACCTTTCCACAATACGATGATTTGAAATCATTCATTGTAAATCACTGTCACGCATTAGAGACTGTAGAATTTTCTTCTTCTTTAAAATCACAAAAAACGTCTAATAGTCAATTACATTGCAAGCCTGAAAACAAAACCAAAGGTTCTAATTCATTTCAGTTGAAACCGCGTCAGGCAAGCACGTTTTTTGTAAATACAAAGAAAAGCACCACTTATTCATGTACATTCTGTAAATCAACTGATCACTTCATTTATAAATGTCCTCAGTTCCAAAATAAATCACCACAAGAACGTCTAAACCTTGCCCACGCTAACAAATGGTGTTTAAACTGCCTCTCAGATCGTCATACCTCTGAGATGTGCCCTTCGCAATCTAACTGTCGATCCTGTTTCGCAAGACATAACACAATGATATGCATAAATACGTCACGTAATAATCAACCCACCAGTGTTGTTAGTCCACAAAATCCCAATAATTCCATGTACAATCCACAGTTCAATTCTGCAACGAATAATTCCCAATATTATCTGCAAAACTTGCACGCCACCAGTGCTCCATTAATCGAAGCAACCCCTCAACCCGCCCATGTCCCACGAATAGACAGTCTTCCTCCGCAAACGAGTCCCCCAATACGCAATTCAACAGTGGCTCCTTACCCCGAGCACACCCCACTTCAGATGTTAATTTTTCATCACCGCAAGCGCAAGCAAAACAAAATATTTCTTTACAAATGTAAAGCCCGCAGCCGCCTATAAATTTCTGTGGAATCGCTTCATCTCGTTCTGGTGTATTGCTTTCAACCGCTCTTCTTGAAATTCAGGATTCATTTGGTAATTTTCACAAAGTTCGAGCACTTATTGACAGTGGTTCCGAGACAAATTACATATCAGAAAAGTGTTTTAAAAAACTACATTTGGCGCGATTCGAATCGTCCTTGAAAATTCAAGGTTTGAATCAAATGGAGGAATATACTACAAAAGGTGAAGTTTCTTGCTCTATCAAACCGATTGGTACCTCCAACCCAATATTGAATATTGATGCTTACATTTTACCAAAAATATGCACAGATATGCCACCTCGCACTCTGAAACATACGCACCATGACCATATAAAAATCTATTTTTTACTGATCCTAAATTTTATGAACCCGGTCCATTAGATTTATTATTAGGTGCTGAAATTTTTGCTCTCATTTAACTTAACAATCATATTTCAGGCGAAAGGAATGAACCGATCGCAATAAATACAATTTTCGGTTACGTATTAATCGGAAAATATACGGAGTTGAACTCTTCATCTACTATCGCTACAACTTTATTTTGTTCTACGGCACAAACAGATTTGTTCAATTCGAATAAGATGCTTTCGCACTTCTGGGAAATTGAGGAGATTCCTAGAGAAAAAATGATGTCTCCAGAAAATGAACTCTGCGAGAAAATATTTCGAGAAACACACTCACGTGACGCTACTGGTAGATATATTCTAGAGCTTCCATTCAAAAATATTAATGAACCGCTTTTTGACATCACAGAATGTCGCGCTCTTGCTACAAAACGTTTTTTGTCCCTTGAAAATAGGTTGTACGCAAATAAGGAATTACATCGCGAATATTCAAAAATAATTGTTGATTATTTAAAAGAAGGTTTTCTCAAACCTGTCCCTGACAACCTACTTCTCCAAAATGGTTTTATAATACCACATCACGTGGTAGTGAAACCAAGAAAGGTCCGCATAGTACTAGACGGCAGTTTCAAAATTAGAGGCAACCAACCGTCGTTAAATGATACGCTTTTGATTGGTCAAAAGCTTCAAAAGGATATTGGTCAAATTCCATTAAATTTTCGTCTTGGTAATATAACATTCACTCTATGTTCACTATGCTTAAAGTAGCTGAAAAGCAACAAACTTTTCAGAGAATTTTATGGAGAAACTCCAAATGCGAACCTATCCGCGAGTACATGTTTGAGAGAGTGATTTTTGGGTTGTCTTGCTCTCCATTTCTTGCGAATCGAACCATCCTTCAGTTAGCACAAGATGAACGCGACAACTACCCCTTGGGAGCTCAAATTTTAGAACATTCGATCATTCGAACATATGTTGATGATTGTTGTTCAAGTTTCAATTCATTTCAGGAAGCAAAGATAGCTCACGATCAACTGATTGCAATACTGAAAAAAGCCGGCTTCAAACTAGAAAAATGGTCAAGTAATACTAAGAAACTACTTTTAGATATACCAGAATCGCAACTCCAAACAAGTTTAGTTAACTTCGACACAGAATCGCATATCTTAAAAATTTTGGGTCGTCAATTGTTTCCACAAGATGACATATTTTGTTTCACAGTCGATACCACAGAATGCAAATGCACTAAACGGAATATTTTACATCAAATTGCACGTCTGTATGATCCGTTACGATTTCTTAGTCCTGTCGCTTTATTCGCGAAACCCTTTATGCAAATTTCACATACATTAGGTCTTCAATGGGATGATGAACCACCACTCGAAATTCGCGAAAGGTGGTCACAGTTAAAAGATGAGCTTTCACTACTCGAGAAGGTTCGAATTCCTCGCTTGATTGGAATCAAACAGAACTCGGAAGTGCAATTGCATGCATTCGGAGATGCCTCAATGAAGGCGTATGCCACGGTAATTTATTTTCGAATAACTGAAAATGAAAAATGTGATATATATTCCTTTGAAAAATTTGTCAATTCCAAAACTTGAATTAACTGCTTGTGTTCTTCTAAGTAAATTAGTTTCCTACGTTTTGAAAACTTTTCACAATAAAATAGTGTTTTCTAGATTGTATGCGTGGACTGACTCTTCAATTGCTCTGCATTGGATTAAAGGACCTGCATATAAATGGAAAACATTTGTCGGAAATCGTGTTGCGCGCATTCAAGAATTATTATCACCAGAATCATGGCATCATATTGACTCGCAAAATTATCCTAGTGACAGTGCTTCAAGGGGACAATTACCTTCAGAGTTCTTAGAAAATAATTTATGGTTGAAAGGTCCGCCATGGCTTGCATTACCCTGTTATGTCTCCAGAAAATGAACTCTGCGAGAAAATATTTCGAGAAACACATTCACGTGACGCTACTGGTAGATATATTCTAGAGCTTCCATACAAAAATATTAATGAACCGTTTTTTGACATCACAGAATGTCGCACTCTTGCTACAAAACGCTTTTTGTCCCTTGAAAATAGGTTGTACGCAAATAAGGAATTACACCGCGAATATTCAAAAATAATAATTGTTGATTATTTAAAAGAAGGTTTTCTCAAACCTGTCCCTGACAACCTACTTCTCAAAAATGGTTTTATAATACCACATCACGCGGTAGTGAATTTTGCTCTAATTTTGAAACTGCCGTCTACGGCAACCAACCGTCGTTAAATGATACGCTTTTGATTGGTCAAAAGCTTCAAAAGGATATTGGTCAAATTCTATTAAATTTTCGTCTTGGTAATATAACATTCACTTGTGATATTCACTCTATGTTCACTATGCTTAAAGTAGCTGAAAAGCATCAAACTTTTCAGAGAATTTTATGGAGAAATTCCAAATGCGAACCTATCCGCGAGTACATGTTTGAGAGAGTGATTTTTGGGTTGTCTTGCTCTCCATTTCTTGCGAATCGAACCATCCTTCAGTTAGCACAAGATGAACGCGACAACTACCCCTTGGGAGCTCGAATTTTAGAACATTCGACTTACGTTGATGATTGTTGTTCAAGTTTCAATTCATTTCAGGAAGCAAAGATAACTCGCGATCAACTGATTGCAATACTGAAAAAAGGCGGCTTTGAACTAGGAAAATGGTCGAGTAATACTAAGAAACTACTTTTAGATATTCCAGAATCGCAACTTCAAACAAGTTTAGTTAACTTCGACAGAGAATCGCATATCTTAAAAATGTTGGGTCTTCAATAGTTTCCACAAGATGACATATTTTGTTTCACAGTCAATACCACAGAATGCAAATGCATCAAACGGAATATTTTAAGTCAAATTGCACCTAGTCCTGTCACTTTATTCGCGAAATCCTTTATGCAAATTTTACATACATTAGGTCTTCAATGGGATGATGAACCACCACTCGAAATTCGCGAAAGGTGGTCACAGTTAAAAGATGAGCTTTTACTACTCGAGAAGGTTCGAATTCCTCGCTTGATTGGAATAAAACAGAACTCGGAAATGCAATTGCATGCATTCAGAGATGCCTCAATGAAGGCGTATGCCACGGTAATTTATTTTCGAATAACTGAAAATGAAAAATGTGATATATATTTTGTTATTGCTAAGTCTCGACTTAGTTAATTCCAATTGGCCGAATTTGTTAATTCCAAAACTTGAATTAATTGCTTGTGTTCTTCTAAGTGAATTATTTTCCTACGTTTTGAAAATTTTTCACAATGAAATAGTGTTTTCTAGATTGTATGCGTGGACTGACTCTTCAATTGCTCTGCATTGGATTAAAGGACCTGCATATAAATGGAAAACATTTGTCGCAAATCGTGTTGCGCGTATTCAAGAATTGTTATCACCAGAATCATGGCATCATATTGACTCGCAAAATAATCCTAGTGACAGTGCTTCAAGGGGACAATTACCTTCAGAGTTCTTAGAAAATAATTTATGGCTGAAAGGTCCGCCATGGCTTGCATTACCCTGTAACCAATGGCCAAAATCTAGATTCAAATTTGATAGTGCACCGCCTGAAGTGATTTCTGAAGAAAGAAATACCTTTCTTGTAACTTCCGAACCAGAATTCGACCCTTTCGAAAAAATACTGACCCCCTTCTCTTCATTTTCGAAAGTACAAAGAATTATTGCTTACTATTTACGTTTTCTTTTCAATTCTAAAAAATCAAATCGCGATTCTCGCAGAACTTGTGTACTTACAAGTTGTGAATTACAACAATCTACTTTATTTTTAGTAAGATATACTCAACAAAAATATTTTTCGGATCTGATAAATAATATGAAAAATAAAAGATCGATTCCAAAGGCCTATAAAAAATTAGGAGTATTTATTGATTCCCATAATATTATACGAGTCGGAGGTCGTCTCGAACACTCAGACCTAAACTATGATCAAAAACACCCCGTACTTTTACCAAAAGGTTGTCGGCTTACCACTTTGATCATAGAATACTTTCATAAAGTCTATTTACACCCCGGTGCGCAGACCTTACAATTTTTATTAATTCAACATTTTTGGATCTTGTCGCCAAAACGCGCTATATACAGCATCATTTCAAAATGCCTAAAATGCTGGCGTTTGAACCCAAAACCATATCAGCCTCCAATGGGTTCTCTACCCCGCTTACGCATTTCTCAACTTCGCAGTTTTTCAGTTGTTGCAATCGATCACTGTGGTCCTTTCACAACGAAAGCAATGAAGATTCGCTCTTCAAAAACGTTCAAATCGTACGTGGTCGTGTTTTGTTGTTTTGCTACTAAAGCATTACACTTAGAACTTTCGGGAGATTTGTCTAGTGAGACGTTTTTATGTGACTTCCGGTGTTTGATTTCACGAAGAGGTCCTGTAATAAAATGTTATTCTGACAACGGTACAGCTTTCGTTGGTGGTAACAAAATAATTCAAAACATGTTGAGAAATGCAGCAAATTCTCTCGCAATAGAATGGCATTTTCAACCTCCTTCTGCTCCACATTTTTCGGGATTGGTAGAAGCTGGAGTCTTGAGAGTATATTTCACCTTCAATTCGAAGAGATCTGAGGCTGGTAACGGTAGTTTGAGATGGTTACTTTGACGGGTGGAGTATCTATTCCCTGTAATGAAATTATTTTGTTTGTGTTTATTTATGAAACACAATGTTTCAAGTATAAATTTAGATACTACCGTGAGTATGTTGTGTTGCTTGAAGTGAAATCTGCACAAATAGCAAAATTTTAGTTTACAGAGGTATCAGAGGTATCTCAGGACTCTTTTTTGTAAGACAAAAACATTTTGAAGAACATTACCACTGCACACTCCCCAGAGTCGATGTATAGTCCTAGAAATTTCGAAAAAACACTGTTTTCAAAAATCTGGTGGTTTAAAGAACTATCAGCAACTGCACAATTGAAGGACACTATATTAGTTTTTAATATGTTGAAGGATAAAAGGTTCGAGTCGCACCACTCTTTGACCTTTGTTATATCTGAATTAATGATATGATGAAGATCGGCTTGCTTATCATTATGTCATAGTATGGTGGTATCATCGGCGAACAGGGTGACATTTCCTGTGATGTCAAGCGTCGTCAGGTCATTAACATACAGTAAAAACAAAATTGGACCTAAGACTGATTCTTGCGGAACACCACTTTGTATATTACCTTAACTTGAGTTTGATTTTGTCTTAACTACTTGTGTGCGGCCAGATAAATATATCGTGAACCATAAATGTGCTTTATTTTGAAACCCGTAACGGTGAAGCTTCCGCAGCAGTACCTCATGATTCACGCAGTCAAAAGTCTTCGATAAATCACAAAATACAGCCGCGGCAACTCCCACATCATTGATCCCAGTATACAATTCATATAACAGTGAAAATATTGCATCATTTGTGCTCTCATTGTAGTGAAATCCAAATTGTTTGATGCTCAATATATCACACACCTGCAAAAAGTCAAAGATTTTCTACTTAACGAATCGTTCGATGATTTCCTTTATCGTGGGAATGTGGGAGATGTTCCTAAAATTCATAGGAGAGTTCACTTCATCACCTTTATAGATCGGTATGACAATGGGCTCATTCAGGCAAATTCAGTTTTTTATTGAAAATTATATATTATAAAAGTAAATCATCTGTTAATTAACAACTGAGCAACAGCAATTGAAAATGTGAGATCGCCCGCGGCACATTCTGACGTCACACCAGGCAACGAGCTTCGAGCGGTGACAATCGGGCCTGTAGTTGCAGATTATGAATCGCTCCCATCGTCGGATTTTGTTTCATTTGTTGACTTGTTTGAAAACACCACGTGTTACATATTCACGCAGTTGATACACTGCAGTAAACAACGCACAACTTGCTCTCTACAGCTTTCGCACACGTATTTCGCTTATGCCAACACTCCCTTGTCTTCGAGTCGACTGATGCGACGTCAAGCTTGACCACATTCAACTATCAATTTGAGGGGGGGAAAAATGAGTGAAAATTCAGATTTTTTGCAGATGTACTATTTGAAACATAAACTTTCAATAATGAAAAGGTAGATATGTGCATTCTTCGCAGGATTCATTTATCAGAGATACTAGTTGGTTCAGGGCATTATCTGGAATATTTTCAAAAATCCTAACAGAAATTTCATCAAATCCAGTGCGGTTTTATTTTTAATATCATGTAACGTTTATTTCAATTCATCAATATTAGTGTCATACAAGATTAAGTTTTCGTTAACACTCACGTTTGCTATATTTATTAGTGGATCATAAGCTATCGTTAAATGTTTTGTCAATTCATCTGCAACTGCAAATCTACTTTCTTTCTGGAATTCTTTCCTAAAAAATCATTTACTATCTTCCAACTCTCCTTTGATTTGTTGGTAGCATCATCTATGCGATTTTTATAATAATTTTTTTTTATAACTTTACAATCTTTCGATATAGTGATCTGTAACTACTTATTGTTGTAATTATGAAAAAAATCTGCATTTGTATATTTTCTGATATAATGCAGAGATCTCATATTTCTCGCAGAATTTTTCAATCCTTTTGTCATTGAATACTTTAAATAGTTTATTGTGGAAGACTAGAAATCTTTCTTTTACTGTTGTAGTTTGCTGACATTTCAAATAGTTGGATGCAGTAAAAAGCCTAACAAATCTGAATTTCTTATTTTTACATTCTGAATCGATGTAACCTAGTATGCAGAAAACAGCCTCATGGTCAGAGAGATCTGCAGATACAACCGAATATATGACTTGCTCTGTATCTAAGTTACTGCAAATATAATTATATAGCAGTACTACTGTATTGTGATATTATGGTACCCGATTTTACATGCACTGTCAAATCAAAAGCAGTCAAGAGATTAATTAGTGACTGTGTGATATTGCTCTCTTTCAAATTGAAATAGATATTGAAATCACCTGTTATTATTATTTTGCATTTCCTACGAAGATCGAACAATATTGACTCCGGTTCGTTAATAAGAATAAGAGGATCTGACAATGATGACCAGTAAATGCATAATATGTACGTACTGATTTTCTTACAGAAGCTAATTGAAAACTCAAATGCTTTTTCTTGTAATAAATTGTCAAATTTAGTGATATTGGTAAAAGGTAATTTATCAGTTTAAAAGTTTTTTCCCAATATCAAAGTCCCGCCATGAGCTGCTGTTTTTCTACTATATTTTGAAATATCGTTATAGTTTGGTAAATAAATAGGCTCATCAAGCCAATGTTCAGTTAATATTGCAATTTTTGAAAAGTCCAAATTCTCCAGGAATATGTACAACTCATCCAATTTATTTCGGAGAGATTGAATGTTCATTAAAACAATAGATAGCGGGATGTTACCTAATAATTCCGTAGGTCTAAAACACGTTTTGGTGGGATAGTTCTGGTGTAGTTTTGTAGATCTTCAAGACGTTCTTCATCATACGCTGTTATTGGCGAGGACTCCAGGATTGGAATTTGTGTGAATCCAGGGCCGTATTGAAATTATTTTCTTTGCTGTTGCTGTCCACAGTTCTTGGTTTATGAAAATGATCAAGTGTATAACAATTTTCCATTGTTATTAATGGTATGTCTATTTTTATTGTAATTTGTTCTTCTCAGTATATTATTACATTCGAAGAAAGTTATGTTCTGCAGCACTCGATGGAAGATATATTTTTTCGGGTTCATATTATTTCGGTATATACATATTTATTAGCGTTTTTTTTTCACTGTTGACAAAGCTACTGTGTTAGCGAAACATATTCCAAAAATTAATCACTCCTAAAATATAACCCCTTCAATTCATATCGTGATATATTTTTCAAATAAAGTTT